ATAGATTCAAGTGATTAACTCATAGATTCAAGTGATTAACTCAGATCTGTAAGGTTAACTCATAAGATCTGTGTGGTTAACTCGTAATTCGAGTGGTTAACTCAGATTTGTATGGTTAACTCATAGATAGTGTTGTTAACTCATAGTGTTGTTAACTTGTAGATCTGTGTAGTTAACTCATAGATTCAAGTGATTAACTCATAATCTGTGTGACTGACTCATAAGATTCAAGTGACTAACTCGTGGATCTGTGTGGTTAACTCGTGGATCTGTGTGGTTAACTCCGTAAATCTGTGTGGTTAACTCGTAGATCTGTGTGGTTAACTCGTAGATCTGTGTGGTTAACTCGTAGATCTGTGTGGTTAACTCGTAGATCTGTGTGGTTAACTCGTAGATCTGTGTGGTTAACTCGTAGAACTGTGAGTATAACTTACGAAGGTTACACTTACTTGGCTCCAGGTAACAGTTTGGCTGAAAAGACATGGTCTTCGGGATATTGAGGGTCCCTGAATGAAACACTGTGAATGAGTCAAAAAGAACATGTGATAGAAGATACAAAACCAAAAGGTAATTTTTTTTTTCAGTAAGATAATTTAAATTTTTTTTGTAGTGTATTATGGCAAGGTCTAAGATTTGATCTGTGAAAATCATGACTGAGTAAAAATAATTTTTGCACTCTGATAAGCTATTCCATCTGAGCAAGGAAATTGAATGGATATTAAATGTGCATTATTTTCAACTGGTTGTGGATCACTCAATAGAGCAAATACAGAGCAAATTTGTTAAAATATAAAATTGATAAAATATGACCACCTGGCAGCCACTTTTTGCATATCACTCAAAAAAAATGTAAATTGCAATGTAAACAAGCTGTTGGCAATGCACATTTCAATTAAATGAATAAATCTGAGTGAAATCTACCTCAGGGGTCTATATGTATAATATCAAAGCAATCAGACTTGCAGTTTCCAACAAGAAGTCGAAAATATCACTTTCCCCAAAAAATGACAAAAATATTCATCCAAATTAGAGATTTGAAGATATCATAACGAAATGAACAAATCTGGGAAAGGTCTGCCCAAAGTACATATACACAAAGTATCAAAGCAATAGAGTTATAGTTTTCAAGAAGAAGCCGAAAAAGTAAAAAGTCGACACGGACGACGGACAATCACTCGTATGATAAACTCTGCTTGACAAAGTCGACAGCGGAGCTAAAAGTCAGACTGCAACAAGTCAGAAATAACATGACGCTTACCTTAGTACTTCAGTATTACGCAAATCTTCTAGCATCGGTAATGGGGACTTCCTCGGTCTGAATAGAAATTATATTATAATTATATTATATTTACATATTATAATTACACCAGTAAGTCAACTATGCTATCAAACATAACTAATATACAACTGCTATTAGACCCCAGATGTTAAATACTGTAGAATACTTAATTTTCACTTGGAATTTATTGTCGTCATTTTTACTGAAGGGATGATTCCGTGAAAATAAAATCCAGCGAATATACTTTTTTTCCTATATTTCACATTAAACCCATCAAAAATCAGTGAAAATAAATTCCATACAAAACGCCCAATCTGCGATAATTAATCCCAGCGAAAATAAAGTATTCCACAGTAGCAGATACATGTACATGTATACACGAATATCTTTCATGAACCAGCTTTCATTCTAAACTGAGATAAACTCAAGGGATGAAAATTAGAATTAACACTAACTAAATTACTGTTGGAAAGCACCATGGTCGATGATTCACGCAGGAACATTTGTTCAATGCAAGTTGTGCATCTAACTCAATACACTCAACATAGTATTTTACCATGCAGTGTATTCAGTGTTATTTCTTTATTTAATAACTCTGTGGTACAGAGCGAATAAAAGTCTGTTATATCGCTGAACAAAATTATTCTCAAAAAAAGAATCAAGCATGTATTGCCAATGTACATTTAATACCAAAGTAACTTGCATTATATTTATTGAAAAGCAACTCATAACAGCTAAAGAGATTACATTCGTTACTTACTCTCCAGGCATGCACACAAACTCGTCGGCCCATATGGTTCCTGACATACCCTCTGTCAGTTTGGGGTTCATGTCCACTGGCTGTAAAATGTAGAAATAATGATGATCAGTTTTGTGGTTTTATGGGGTCAAAATACTGCCTAATTTTCACATTTTGATGATTTATTGAAGGTGTTTCTGAAGACAAAATTCACAGAAGCCAGAGAAATATTCACTGTGACACCATGGCTTAAAGACCCGAGGAAACTATTCACTGTGATACCCCGTTCTTAAGGACACCAGTGAAATATTCATTTGCAAATCATAATACAGTAACATAATACTTTACAGATACACATACATACACATACCTCACTGAAGTCACCACCATCATACAACTCCTTGAAGAAGTCATATGCTGGGTGTTTTTTACCAACAAACAGTCTGTCACTCCCAAGACCATTCCTGTGAACTAAAAAAAAAGAAGTGTTTGTGTTTTATCTCAAAACTAATCAAAGGTACAATTAAAACCATTTTAAGAAAACAAATAAATAAAACTGTGAATTTGGACGTTTCCCCAAAAATGTTTGAACAACATTGTTGTTGCAAAATCATCTGTGTACTGTAACATATTATCAAAATACAGACACACACCCCACCACATCCCGCTACACCCACTCACTGCAGGAGCTGTGTGCAGTATGGTGACTGTAGACTTACTTTCTTCAGGTGTCAAGTCTGAATACACGCCCACAAGGGCTTCTTTCAGTCTTTTCTCATCTACAAATGGTAGCAGCGCCACTCCTACAAATTAGAAATACAGCATGTATTATAAAAAGTGAAGTCTATTTTTGTTATTTGGTTTTTCATAGTGGTAATAGAAACTGTGCAATTCTGTAGGTTGTTACAATTAAAAATAACATTGCATGTTTTAGGCGTAGTATCAAACGGAATGACTCGCGTACAGTCAGCTTTCAATTTTGGTGCATGCCATTTATGGTACAATGTAGTACAATTTTCACTCATAATAACATGGAAATGTGCAACAAAATATTCATGAGTTAGAACAATTGGAAATTGTTCTCACCATCAACAGATATTAGCTTACCTTGCCATGCATATCTCTTGCCGTTTAAATCGATTGCGAAATCATCGGGATAAAAATCTATGATAGGAGAATCCTGTGTAGAGACAAATCAAGATTATCTCATTTTATGAATGAGAAATGATGAACACAATGAAATTCAAGAAGGTAACTGGTAGTTGTACTTGCTCACAAGTATTACTAGTACATGTATTGTGAAAGGCTGTAATTTTATATGATATCATTAGACAATTTTCTGAATTTTTGTGCAAGGCTGCAATTGCAGTTGATGCAGATAAAACAAACAATGCAGCATTCATACGTACATACACGGATCAGTCATGCTATGTCATTCGCCATCGTAAAACAAGATATAGTATCCCCTATTAATAACTCATGCACTTATGTAAATATGATCAAGGTGTATTTCTGATAAAAAAGTCATATTTTAATGGCTGAGAATACAGTGAATGCAAAACTGCAAGAGATCAAATACGAGGAGATTAAATGCGGATTACTTACTGGGTCGCTCATTAGTTTTCTCCATGTTTCAGGTAAAAACTGTCCACTAGCAGAGGGAAACACTCCCATTAACTGCTCAAGCGGTTTAAACTGGAAATTAACACAGTGAAACAATTAATACATTGCCTTAGAGGGAAGGATATATTAATGCTGCTCCATTAAAACATTACAATAAGTTACAGCAAAGTTGTCTCTCTGTAGCACAGAAAAAAAAATTGCCTCGATTATACAAATGTCTGAACTCCATCCACGAAAAACACCAAGCAAATAGCAGACCAAAATCAAGCACAATTCAACCAAATCTATTTATCATTACTAAAAAACAATGTACTGAAACTTACAGGTTTGGTACCTTTCTCAAAGTCATTTGGAAGCTTGCCAATATCTATAAAGTTAGCCGCAAAGGGAGCATAGTGAAATGGAAAGTACCACTTCCAGGACGGGCATCCTTGGTAGTAATATCTCAACACCCAGCACAGTCCTTCAACATAGGAACTCACCTGTAATAATAATCAGAAGAAATAAACTTTTCTTCTCATAAATAGGCCAAAATATTGCACGACTTGGCTGTACAAAAAAAAACATTCAGTCTGCGCCGATGGCCGTATACACATACAGGGCCCAATGTGAATTGGAAGAGCATTTTATTTATAGTTTTGTGATATGTCTTCCAACTTTCAAGGTAAATAAACTCAAAAAATGTACAGTATAGACTGCCAGAGCATGAACAAGGATTGTCTCAATATCTTACTGTTATCGCAATGGTAAAGAACAGTCATGTGTGTCAAAGTATACACAAATTTGATGGTGGAACCTTCAGCATAAAGTGTATTGAATGTCCTATTTGTTATCATGCTCTCTGCTAAAACTACTGTAAAAATTTAATTTCACTAATTTGTCGGGGAAACAAGTTTTATTGTTATTTTACATTTTCGTGTAGATTTAATTTAGTTAAAAATAGTTAAATTAAAACCCAGTGAACGCTCATTTAATGCATTTACAGTACAATACAATGGCATAATAAAACTGGTCTATTAAAGTACCGGGGGTAGTACATGTAGTTCTACAAGAACCATTTCAGGGAGCGAAGACCAAACATTGACTCAATTGGGAAAAGTACATTTGCTCTTAGATCAAGTACACGTACATAAGCTGAAGTTCAACTGTATGATCACGTCAACTTAAAAAACAGAATGTGGTTATGCACTTCCTAACACTTACCACGCTTTAAACAAACTGTTCATTATTCTCAGACACATCAAATTTTAACTTGTAGTACCTATCTTTCCAACACTTACCACACTTTGAACAAACTGTTCATCATTCTCAGACACGTCAAATTTTAACTTGTAGTACCTATCTTTCCAACCATCTTCCCACAGCCTGAAATGAAACAAAATGAAACAAAGTGTAATGACTGTAACATCAAAACTGAAAAGTTTGAAATGAAACTGTAGAACATGCAATAAAAGAATGTGTAAAAGAAAATGATACAGGTGCATTAATATACATGTGCAGTGATAAATTACAATAAGTGAAGTCAATTACCATATGTAACATTTCCTTTTGTATATTTCTCCCTATGTTTCAAGCTAAGCCAGCCCCCCCCCCCCCATTTCTGTTTGACCATAACCATCAATCAATAATGGCTCTTGTATTATTACATTAACAGTATTACA